GTGTGTGAATGTGTATGAATGAGTTAGTTTCTGTTTGATGGGCTTTGCCATCACTGAGTGAATGTGTGTGAAAGGGCGAATGTGCCATGTAGTGTAAAAGCGCTTTGAGTGGTCGGAAGACTAGAAAGGCGCTTTACAAGTACCATTTACCATTTAACACCCGAAAGTGCCATTTCCTGCAATATAGAGCCTTAAGTCATGACCAGTAAAGCTACTTCTTCACTATTAAGTTCAGTACTTTCAGATAAATATAACGCAAAATAAACACTGACTCATAACACTGTTAATTCACCGTGTGTGTCTTTTGGTCCATAGCTATTTTTGTCTAAACCCCGATTTGTGCAAGCATTATATGAGGGGAAATCTCTAAGACAGGTGTTCTCAATTTTAAGTTAATTTAAGATTTATAGATCCCAGGTGCATAATTTACTAACGGGCCTCACCTATTGGTAAACCCATTTGTATCCATTGTGGTTCTAAGAGCAGCAAGGTTTTTTTATGCTCAACATTTTATGAATCCAACATAAACACACCATCAGAAAGGATCTTAAGATCTTCAAATATAAAACTAAACACTGTTATAAGTGTGACCCCTGAAGAATATTAACCTTAGAATGTTGCATGCTGGGAAGTATATGTGCATACACAAACAATGTTTCTAAATAAACTTAATTTAATGCTTTAAGTAAAGGATCTATTGGACTGGCTGAATTCATGATTATATATGTTGGAAATTAAAAATAAAACCAATAAACTTGGATCTACAAGATCTACAAGGCAAAACAGAAGTGAATAAAAAAACTATTTTTGGTAAACGTCAACAGCAAATTAACTAACCATTCAGGTCAATGTCTGCTGATAATTAAAACAACAATAATAATAATAATACATTTATTTTAAATTGAGCATTAAAGGGTACTCAAAGGAACTTTACATGGTAACAAAAGAAAAATAACAGAAACAGCAGTGGGGTAGAATGTCAGAAATGTTGGGGGAGAGAGTTCAAGAAGGAGGGGGCAGCAATGTTGTATGTATGTTAAGTTTGAGAAAGTTAGCTTGCATCCATGATTTTATTTCTGTGAGGCAGTTTGTGAGGCATATGGCAGTAGTAATGGATTGGTGGAGAGCTGAGGGATGTTGGCACAACAGTGGAAAAGTAGGCATATGATTATGATGTGACCAAGGGGAACCATGTAGAGGATAAAGAGGAGGGGGCCAAGCACCGAACCTTGGGTGACTCCCTGAGAGACTGGGGCTGTATTGGATGTGTTAGTGCTGACGCACAGTTGATGGTCGGAGGGGTATGATTTGAGCCAGGAGAGTGCAGTGCCAGTGATGCTGAGGGAGGACTCAAGGCGGGAGAGGAGAATGGTATGGTTGATTTTGTTGGCAGCACTGAGGTCAAGTAAAATCAGAATGCTGAGGGAATGTTTGGCATCAGAGGAGAGGAGTTGGTTGAAAGCTTGTAAGAACCTTGTAAATGGGTCTCAAATATGCACTTGATGGCTATATACATGATATTGTGTTAAAAGACCTCCCATATATAGTTACTGTAACTAAGTTATGATTTGAACAAAATGTATGTTTTGGCAAGGGATTTAGCAAAGAATTAACTGGCTTATACTAAAGTCAAATAAAAAAATAGGCCTGCCTTTAATATAAGCCTGTTTCAAAGAAAGGCCTGATTTTTTTGTTTTTGTTTGCACTTCCTCATTATTTTTAGGTGTTACACACCCCCACACCTCACCTATATCTATGTACACATGTATGATTCATTTCATTATTTATTTAAAAATCCAGGTTTTGTGTCTAAAGAATCATTTTCAAAGTAAGTTACTTTGCAAACACTGAATGTCATGTCACTAAACGTATTAATATAATTTTATCCAATTCCTAACTTTTCTTATTCTGCAGTGGACTCATCTGAACTAGTCGCCTGAGTTGCTAACTCTCCATCAGCCAAAGGGGCCTTTTTTTTTTAAATGGTGCCAGTCAGAACAGCAGACACAGGCAAAACAGAGAACTGAAAATAGACAAGTGAAGGAGGTGAAGAAGAAGGAGGGGAAAAACACACGGAGGAGAGAGCGAAGAAAAAGAGCAGAGAGTGAGAAAGATGAAACCTTCACCCACCCCCTCACCCCCAGCGATGATTTGTGACTCCACTCAGAGTGCAGTGACAGCTGAAGCAAGTGGTCACTGGTTGGAAAGGGGCCACTGAGCCCTTCTATCAGGGTTAGAAATAACAGTAGGCCTGAAGAGTTCAATGAATGTGAGTAAGTGTGAGACCTATACTGCCTATAAATGTCTGTGCTTGTCTGTCTGAAACACAATTTCCATCCCACTGCTCAGAAAATTAGGAAGTTAAATGCTGCAATTAAAAGCTGTACATCAATCAGCTGATTAGTTTGTTTTCTAAATGATCCATTAGGAGATTGGACAGCTCTTTACAGTGTTGATTAGTATTGGAAAAGTAATTATTGCTCTTCAGTTCAACTTTCAATGTTGCTCATAAGCCATGTTTTCATGAACTTTACCATCAAACAGGCCAATTCAGTGTGCCCGAATGTGCAAAGCACATTAGCACACTGTTTATTCTTTTACATACAATCCCAAAAAAGACATTTTCTAGTTACAATATTTAGAACACTTTTGCAGGCTGTGGCATTTATGAAAGCCCATTTTCAACTGTACACTTAAATTTAACTGTTAACTTTCAGTCACGCCAAGCCTTTATTTTTCATTTAATCAATGCATTTCCTGCTACCATCTGCTTTATAAAGTTCTTGCAATGGCAGAGAACCGTTGCTAATTTTAGCTTTAATTAATTTTTTTCATAATTCAACAAAACTTTAGATGGAAATCAATTTTGTGCATATCAGTGTATTATACACATATTTTTGCTTCTGCTGTTTGTGCATGAGTGTGAGTGTGTGTATACGTAGGTGGGTTGTGGACTGTTCGGAGGTGCACTTTGAGCTGATGGAAGCCAACAGCTGCCTTACCGTTTTACAGAATGACGTGGTGGTGGGTGAGAAGGGCCCAGGCAGGAATGTGAAGCGCTTGGCTGATTCTCCCTCTGCCATGTACTGGGAGAGTGGCTCTATTTATATCAGTCTGTCTATTGATCTTTTCATATCTGTTTTCGTGGGTCTCAGCGCCTGCTGATTTATATATACCATCAGGTACACATTAGACAATCAGTGGATTTGATTCCCAAATGAAATGATTAAGTTGCATTTTGAAAACTGAACCTCAACTTAATTTCACAAGGGTCATTGCAATTTTGCAAACTGTATTATTCCATAGTGCTTTTTCTATTTTCAATTTGTTAAGAGTTGGTGTCGGAGTATTTTTTTTTTTTTTTAGTAAATTCCTTCCAATCACTGCTTGTATAACTTTTACCGTTACTTAGTACTGAAAAATGTATGGTGTTTTTTTTGTTCTTTTTGAGTATGGAGTGTAATAACTGTTTACTAGTTTGTATGTAAAAGAGTTATTTAAAATCCAGAGTATGGGGAGGATCAATTGGCAGAAATTTCATATAATATTAATTGTTTTCATTACCTGGAACGAGCGTTTTTTATCTACAGAGGGAGTGGGTCATCTTCTACATATTCCGCAATGTTGAACCCCCATGTTTCTACAGTAGCCCAGAACAGATTTCTGAAACACTTGCTCTTTGTTAAGGCCTTTTGCATTGGTCGCAAGTTTCATGGCCACTTCAGTTTCTTCTACACACTTCACAGCCCATTCTCATTCCCAAATACTGACAGGAGCAGTGTTGAGTTGGTTCCAATTTGCAGCTTCACGACTAGATGCCATCATACACACTGATCCTTTAATTTCAAATTTGTATGACTTGAATTTCTCAAATTCATAATATCATGGTGAGACATCAGCAGTGAATTGGAAGGCAATGTTTGGAATTGGGGCTGTATAGTAAAGTTGAAGTATATTTTCAATCGGAAGATCTGAATTCTTAGTAGGAATACTGTGTGGATGTGAGTAAAGTCAGTAACTGCTATGAAGGCATTTCACAAGCATTGCAGTGTACTATAGATGCACACAGTAGAGTGGAATGCAGTGGCAGTTGTTGCAACTGCTCCTGAAAGAACTAAAAGAACAAAACTAAAACATTGACTGGATGACAGTCACAATTGAATGTTACAAAATCACTGTTAAATGCCTGGATTGAAAGCTACCAGGTCTGACCTGGTTCACCTCACTGTGACTGTGGCATTGATCAACTAACTATACCAAAATAAGAAAATTACATCTTCAAATTTCTAGTCTGCTTTGGTCTGATTCAAGAGTAGTTGATACTTGGTACAAGATCTTCCCCTCTCTATATAATATACATAAAACAGGAAGTTAGCTGTGTTCTGTTCAGACAGTTGGCCACAGAATATTGAAATCCATACATAATGTCTATGGCAGTCAAGTATTCATAGAATCATGCGTAACTCTTTGTATTGTAATATAGAGGACAGATCAAGAGTAAGTAGTTGTAGGTTTGCAGTTATGCAAAAGCAGACCATGCGCATAGATAGATGAGCTGTATTTATTTAACAGTGCTGTAGTTAATGGAGCAAATATTATAGGAAAGCAAATGGGGCGGCTGTGGCTCAGAGGCAGAGCGGGTCGCCCCCCAATCAGAAGGTTGTTGGT